TTGCTCTCGACACAGTTTTATCTGATCACTTTGCCGATAACAAAGAAGGAATCTCTCAGGTAAAATTACTCGATTGCCGAGGAAGAGCCATTGAAACGTTCAAATGCAACTTCACACCTCTTAATTGCGGTTAAACGTAATCGCCTTTGTTTGCGCTTCCTTCTACATATCCTTGACACCCTACGGGGCATCACTAGGCTAGGGCCCTCTCCAGAGCTGTCAATCAAAATGGCGGCACGCTTACATGCCTAACGAGTGGTCGGAAAATGTAACAAAAGCACGATTTGCTGCCCCTTCAAAGCACCCAAACAAAATATTTTTAGATGGCAATAAGCAGTGGTTCCATCTGATCGTATAACCGATAACAGGTAAATTTTCCAGCTAAGCATTTAACTAATAAGCCCTGTTAACCAACCTGTGAACGTTTTTGGCTGTTTTAACAGCTTTCTATATTGAGGAGATAAGTGAATCGCTGCCAAGTATATCTCACTATCTGAGCAACCGATCGTTACAAAAGTTGCACCTATTGTTGTTAGGAATGTGGACTACAGCATGATATCAGGGTTTTAAGAGGAAATTGTTTGTTTGAAAGTTATCGCCTTTTGAAGTGAATAACCCATTGAAATATGGGCTGATTTTACGTAAAAGATGATAAAATCAAAAGTAAATAGGATAAGACAATTCCCTGGTACCCCGCTGTAGTGCTTTCACCCAGCTTTATGAGGCCTTTTGAATCACTTGAATAGCTGTCTTGGTTATAGAGAAAATCCCAATACCGAAAACGGCATTTTTCCCCTCAAATTGGCGCCAGAGCGTCATCCGTTGGAAACTGTACTTAATCCCCATCTTTAATTGGCCTTTTGGGAAGTTTGTTTTAATATTTTATAAAAACTTATAAGCCCAGGGCTTTGTTTCTATGACTTTGGTCCTTTTACTATTAGTGGCCTTAAAAGTTATTTTGGAGAGAGTGGGGTTTACTCACATGTATTTGCAGAGAAAAATCTGCTATTACAGCGTATCCCAGAGCCAGTGATATCACACATACATTTACCTGCATGTTCAAATGAAGCCTTGGATTAAATTTAGTGCATAATTTTTTAACTGAATTGAAATGGACCAATTAACAATATTTAACACACTAAAACAACCTGAACTGTGGCTTCTACATGTTATATATATATATATATATATATATATATATATATATATATATATATTGCCTTTTTTTCTCTTCTCAGATTATGATCCCTATTTTCTACGTCCAGCTGTTTTTTCCTCAAAATGAGAATGATGACCTGGTGTGGCTGGTCTATATTGTTATGGCCATAGCAGGGAGCAGTATATCTGTGGCTTATTTACTTCCATGGTAATGTGTAACAATTATTGACATGATGCCTTAATGGCAGCTCTTCACTGATTGAGGACAGTTATATCAACTGCCTTGAAATTACTTGTCAGTTGAAGTGTTTTGGGCACTAGCTAAGAAAGCAGTGCGGTAAGAAACTTTTTTTATGGCAATTTAGAATATGCATGTGTACTAGTATATATGAAATATATTTGTATTTTTTTCAAAACTTTGCCTCAAAAGGTATCAGATCAGATTTCTGCAATGTTGTCTACTAGTGCACAATTACATTGATAGTCTCACGTTTACATATTGTTTCAGGTCTATGCTCCCAGATGTTTTAGACGATTTCTTGCTGAAAACAGGCCACAGGAAGGATGCCATCTTTTACTCCTTTTATGTGTTCTTCAATAAGTTTGCTGTTGGTTTGTCAGTAGGACTTTCACAGGTGGCTTTAGGGTATGTGGATTGATTCTTTATATCATTTATTAATTGTGGTCATTTTTGGTCAAATAGTGAAATTTTGTTCATTATAAATATCTGAGTAATGGCATGCCCCAGCTTAAAATTTGCCTTTAGAAGAGTTATCTGAAAGTGAAAATACAAGCCTTTCAGTAAGTGGGTGGGAACCCTTTTACTTTTTCTTGTAATTACAATTTCACAAAAATTACCATCCAATAATGTATGTTAATTAGAATGTGAAATTCAAGACAATTGTACATGTATCTGTTTGAAACAAAAAGCAAAACTTCCTGATGAATCGGCTATATAATTCTTTAAAACCCAAAGAAAACCAGAGTACACTCCCAAATATGAAAAGAACCTCACATGTTATTATTTTAAAAATATTTCTGTAGGTTGAGTGGCTATAAATCCCAGCAGTGTGATCAAGTGCCATCTGTGGGGTTAGCCCTACGCATGCTGGTGGCACCTTTTCCTATTGTGTGCCTTCTGATTGGTCTGATGTTTCTATGGAGATACCCAATCACAGAGGAGAGAAGAAAAATCATAAAGGAACAGTTGTAAGTGCTTGTGGTTTATTTTGGCATATTTGTCACTGTCACTCTTTGTCAGTTGGAAACTTGCACTGATATGTTCTCCAGAATACTTTTATCTTTTTTTTTTGTTAAAGATTGATAGATATTTAATTTGCATATCAAAAATTCAAAAGTCATGTTCTTGAAATTTAATATGAATCTTGCAAATGCAAATGTATTGTTTAACATTCATTATGTCCCATTACTGTTAGATCTTTTGGTAATTGTTTTCAACTCACTATTTCAGTTCACACACCTTGCATTTCTTTCAATTTCCATTGAAATATTTATTAGTAATTGTGGCATAATCCCAGTAGGTGTATACTACATAATGACTTATTTAATGCTTTCAGAGCAAGGCAAAATGAAGGTCTTTCTCCCAGTGCGGATATGTCAGGTGCTTATGTCAAATATGAGACAATTGAGGACACTTGCTAGACCACGTGATAGACATCTCTGTGTTCAGGCAGCAATGGATGTATTTTGAGAAGAATTGCTTTTGTTTTATTTTTGCATAGCAAAGTTTGAAGATCAAAACTTGATGATCAATTTGTTTATAGAATACACCTTATTAAAGCAGTATTGAACTGTTAAACATTGTCAGTGGTGTGAACTTTCTTAATGAATTGGAATGGAAAATGTGGATGCCAGGTACCAGTATATGTGCGTTGAACTACGTTTTAGTAATTGTTGGTATCAGAGTGCAACGAATGAAGAAACGAAAATAGGCGATCTTCTCACTAAAAAGAGGGGGGATGGTAAAGGTTGAGAGAATCGCATACATGAACGGCAAGTGTTACACATGCGTGGAAAAATGCATGAAACTTGCCAAGAGAAAAAGGACAAAACGAGTATTATAGAGAAAGAGCTAGACTAAACAGTGCTAAGTGACAATTATGTAAAATTGTATAGAGATGAAAGTCAGACGGAACTCGTTTATCGTATTTTTTTTTAGTTGAAAGTAAATCCATGATACAAGAAAACATGTTGTAGTATATTTATGTGTATATTATATAGCATAACCAATTTTCATAAACTGCAAAAAACTTAAATCGATGCCTTGAGGTGTTACCATTTACATAAGTACAAAAATTGTTACTGATATATATATATACTTTTTTTTTGTATTCATTAACCATAAAAACTCGATTGGATAATTTAGCGTTATTCCATCGTTAACGTTCGTTTTAAAAACAATAACAAAGGGAGAACTGTGAACGGTTGATGCTTGCTAGAATTTGCGAAGGTATATGTATTGGCATTATCTCAGAAATTGTCAGTATTTTGTCTCACCGATCAAGAAATTTTCTGAACATTTCTCGATCTCGTTCCTAAGTGAATGGACACTGAGAACCTCTACTGCAATGATGTTCGCCACACGGTGGTGAAAACACCGCAAGCACTGTGACTGCAAAGTTATACTTGAGCGATCAAATAAAACCAGGCAATGTGGTTTTAAAATGAGCTTGCGAACGACTATGTTAGCACAGAGGACCCAGAGGGGAGGTTGGCAAGTGGCTCAGGAGATCCACAGGTCTCTCGCTCGTAGCTCTACTTGAAAGAGCCCAAAGTGTAGTCTTGGTTGGAGGTACAAAGGTCACTAAAGCACAGAAACAACATTTTCTTGGTTTGCAAGCGCTGAACATCTAGGGGACCTTTTTTGTCGCCCATATGTAAGGATTATTGGATTACATTGTGTATACCCAGTTTCGAACTTGGCATGCCTTTCAACATGTTTAACCACCATGGGTTTGAAGAAAGACGGAAACATTGCTCTCCAGTTTTAGTGCTTAAATGAAACGTGCATGGCTGCCGGACAGCCGCAGGTGATGGCTATATGTACATACGCTAATATGTAGTGCTTTAAAAAGTTCTTGAAATGGCATCTGCAGTAACAAAAGAACAGAAGATGTGATCTAACAGATAAGACCAATAAATTGTGTACAACGTAAAGATCATCACGAATATTTCAAAGTTCAAATGTGTATTTAGTGGTTATCTATGCGGCAAATGAAAAAACAAGTAGATTTATATCCGAGTCACAGTGATGGTTGTCGATCAGTTTTCTTCGGAGACTATTCGCCAAGCCACATATCTACCTAATTTGAGTTACAATTGATGTCTGCAGTGTATTATTATTGTAAAAAGAGAAAATTCAATAAAAAGTGAAAATCATATTTTTGCAATTTCTTGATTTCTTGAGACCTTACTACTAAGTGTACCCAAGGATCCATCTACGTGCTCACGTACATTTTAGTACTTAATTTGTTCTGTTATTTTAAATTGAACCACTGGTAGCACATATTGAAATGAGAAAACGGTCGTCATTATTTTATTTTATTTTGTTATTTATAATTAATATTTTGCTGTTTATGTTAGCCAAGCGTGCAGCTTGATAATCTTATGGCCAATTGAATATGAAGTACTCCTATAGTGCCCTATAGTCCTTTTCTCCAACAAATCGTGTAGATGGTATTTTGTAATATGGGCTCCCACCAACCTGAACTACTTGTATGCGAGTTCGTTAACAATAAGATATTTCCTAGAACCTAAAATTTCCGGTTTCTGATTAGCATGGCATTTTTATTAAATAGCCAGATTAGACGGTGCCTCGTAATTTTGTCTGTAAATGAAGAACAGAATATCATAAAAGTAGGCTCCATTGGAAATGAGATGTTCTAAATGAAATCGATACGAGATGGAACAATGAGATAATCGTGATGAAATCGCGGTAACAGTCGAAATAAAATGAAGAAATCTACAAGATGTAGATTTATACGGCAGTCTCATCTATTGCTTTTTTTTATCACACATAATACCGAGTCCCTTGGAGGAAACTGTGCAGAAACGTGCCTGAAGATTGATTGTTGGCAATTTTATAACGCTCCCACTCGAAACATTTGGCACTTATCAGACATTAGATGTGTCAACCCAGAATATACCTACCCAATCAATGTAAAGTATAATGAAGTCTAAACGCCATACCGTGAGTTATCTGCCCATATCCATATACTGCGATTGCAATTAATTATCAAGTGTTCCGTTTATTACGGGTTTATGCTAATCGATCGTTTATTCCTTGATGTACGCCGCGCGGTGAAATTAATGTTTGGAGTACATGGCTTTTTCTTAGACAATCTATAGTATTCTCTTTTTCTAGTTTGTTTTCAGGCAAGCGAAAGCGAACAAAGACTTCTAAACATTACTGCGAATCTTCATATGAAAATCAGGAACAAGGGTAAACATGACGCAGAAATCATAATGATGAAGTGTCGGTGCCATAATGGGCGGTTTCTGACCCGTGAGCCTACTAGCAAGAGATCTTATCGCTGGAAGCATCGCTGCTGCATGATTAGGCACAGCGCTCTGGGAGATCACATGGAAAAATCACGAGGTCTCAGACGCTTCTGAAAGGTTTATATGCCAAATGCACAGGGAATGAAGCCATGACGCATTAACTGAGCCAGCCAATGCACCACACGAAGAAGACAAAGCGCCTCGTGCTACGTACAGCACCGCGACTCGCTGATTTCATGAGATGACATCTGCAGATTGAGAGCGATCAATTAATTTCGCACTCGCGTCAAATTGTGCGTGGCTATGGAGCTGATTCAGAGACATTGTACAACTCGGGTTGGTGTTGACAGTGCCTAAACGAAACCCATGTCGGTGCACAATCGGACTTTACCGGTCCACTTAGCATTTAACATTGCCTAACGCATAATACAGCGAGGTTGTTCAAGGAGAAATGTCTATATGTTTCCGGACCTCCAGTTGTTCAGCAGAAGATCCAATATCCGTGTATGGGCTATTCCGACAATCATTTCTACATAATATTATGTGCATTAATATTGCGCGGAAAGCAATTGTAAACAGGACATCGTGCTTGACATCGGCAGAGCAGTAATAATATTAGTTAGTTGCTGTGCTGTTTGCCTCGGCGACGATATATATTGCCCTGACAGTCAAACCAATATTACCGGAGACTTTGAGCGGAAAATGATGTTTCAAGCTAACTTGGTAGCATCGTCTGCCATCCAGAGGTCGTCGTTGACAGAGTAAGTATGGTTTTCATTGATTTTAGGTTTCTGGTGTTTTCAAAGCCCTTTCTATCGCCATAATAGTTTCAAAATTTAAGACAAAAATGCAGCGTTCCTATACGCAGGTGAGACGTGATGATGGCCAAATCGTCTGCTTTTCTAATGATTCGAAAGCAAAATTACAGTTTCTGAAGACGTGTTCTGGTAAAGGACAACAAAACACGTTTTNCACAAGCTATATACACCTACCACATTGTGTCTGTGGATCACATCTACTGCAATCTGTCAGCAGACACGTACAATTAATACTCCACAAGCTATATACACCTACCACATTGTGTCTGTGGATCACATCTACTACAATCAGCCAGCAGACACGTAGCAGTCCAGTTGCTACTCCCTCCCTCAATGTCGGCTCTGACGCCTTGACTTCTTATTTTAATTAATTGGGTGTGCCAAATGCAAGAAAGGCATAGAGTCACGAATGTTTCACCATTCATTAAAAAAAAAAAAAACTTTTCCCCATTTCATTGAAATATGCCCCAAACAGATAAGTTCTTGGACTTCAAATTAATAGCTAGCTACCTGATGAAAAGCTACGTGACATACCCAGCAGGCATAGTCGCGTTGGATCAATGTTGAAAACAGGTTGATACGTTGAATTGCTGTTGATCTACCTAAATTTAACGTTAAATCAACGTTGATCCAGCCACGTCGAAACACAGTCATAATGTGACGTTGACTCAACGTTGTATTTTGGTCATTGACACAACCTTGCAGACATGGATTGTAATTTAAAATATTTATTGTTGAAAACGTGATACTTTGTTTATCAATAATGTAACAAATGTTATCAAAATAATAAAAAAAATGTGTTTAAAGTAAAAGTGACAGTTGTTTTGTGTCTTCAGTGAACTAGTGAATTTTCTGAACTTGTTATTCAGAAATATATTCCAATAAACTGAATTTCTTGCAAGGTCAGCTAACACTAGGATGAATACTTTGCTGTAAATGTGATNTATATATATATATATATATATATGTCTTGGAAATTTTAAATTAAAGGCCACACATATATAACCTACATATATTTAGCCATCAAACATGTCCTACTGCTAAACACATCCAGGCTAAAAAGGTGTACCATGCTTAGGTGCAAAACATGCTTAGGAGCTAAATGCGTTGAAAAAATCAGACAAAGCAGGTTCTTGGATGTTTTTTACAGGGTACGTTATAATTGGTTAGCTGTGTTTTGTACCAAAAATAAAAACATCTCAGGTCATTTTAATGCCTTTTCATGCAAGAATTTTGTCTAACAACTGGGGTTGACACAATGTTGTTATCTAACGTTATTATCTGAGTTTGAGTCAACTTTCAAATCCAATGTTAATCCAACGTATTATCAACGTTGTTTCAACGTGAAAACAACATAATTTGCCCGCTCGGATATAGTTAAGATAACAACTTCTTTTATCATAGACAAGTAAATACATTTTACAAACTAACAACTCTTTAAATGACATTTTAATCGATCTTGCACGAAGGGAGCAATATGGAAAACCCAAAAACGAAATATACTATAAGACTGGGTTCCCCTCCCTAGACCGATCCATCTTGATCGGCCTAGCTCCCTGGGCAGCCTCACTTAATTGCTATCAACTTATATGGTTTAAAGGTCTGTCACACCTACCGAATCAGCTAGGGTAAAGATAATTACCCCCTTACAGCTTTACTAGGCGTGACAGATATTTAAGCCGATTAGGTTGAGAGCAATTTAGTGAGCCTCCCCAGGGAGATAGATTCATCCAAATATCTGTGGGGATGGTCGCTAAGAGTCTAATATATTCTTTACACATTGTATCACTCTGGACTACTATCAAGCCGCACCATACACGGGTGTGAAATGACGTCATACGACTAGTACGTCTCAACAACCACAATAT